AGTAACTCGGTTCCCATCCTGTTAGCACTCTTTCCTTATCAAACATTGAACTGGGGCATAAGGAAGTTTAAATTACCAGCAATTGGAGATCCGTTTTCTAAACACTTGAAACAGATGGTTCATTGCCTGAAAAGCATGCTTCTTTTCGGGGAATAAAGTATTCAGCTTGGTTATTTCAGGTTGTTGCAGCTCATTTATTAATATCGGGTTTGCCACACTGATGAACACTTTCCCTTCACCTCTGTTCCTTCCGTTCAGTTTGCCTAGTGGGCAAATATCTCGTTTCTAATGCCACCTGCTTGCATCTTAGATACTGTATTGAGCAAAAGCCTAGTTACTCCCCAGTAGAGCTCCTCAGAGCTTCAGAAAAAGAGCAATATCATGCAGAAGATTTTTAAAAATGAATGTCATTTGAGTCTACAATGGATAAAGTTGGACACCACCAGGGGAGCACAGGAGGGAACTTAACAAAAAGAGAATGTGCTTTTTGCCTATTTTGGGAGGCAGGGCGGGGAGGTTCCTAGGATCCAAATTCAGGATCGTATGTCGCATTTAGTTGTTATGTCTCTTTAGTATCTTTTAATATATAACAGTTCCTCAATTTTTCTTTGCCTTCCATTCACTTTTTATTTAAAGAGTACAGTTCGTTTTGTAGAATGTTCTTCGAATATATTCATCTGATGCTGCCTTATCATTGGTAAGATTATGTGACACATTTTCAGCAGGAATACTAATAAGGGGTGAGAACTAGATTTTCTAGAACCCTCCCACAGTGTGCAAGGAAGTTGGCCCAGGTGTTCTGTGGGTGAAACTTTTCTACCAACCCCTGATGGGACAGTGATGCTTCAAGGGTCCCATCCAAGGATCTTAGTCTGAACTGAGTGCCTTAAATTTTTTTTAAAGATTCTCACAATCACACTTGAGAGTAAAAATGGATTGAGGTGTCCATGTATTTCTGGGCCTTGTTCTTGGGATGCGCTGAGCTACTTTAGGTCTGTGTGAACGGTCTGAGCAAGGTTAAGAGAGGGCAGGAACTGTTTCTTGTAACCTGACAGTTTGGGAGAGTGAGTCGAGAGATAACCACATAATCCATTTATAACCACCCAAGTTAACAAGATCTCACCTTCTCCGAATAGGCCCCTTATTTACAAATAGTCACTTCTGTGCAAAAGTGGGCTCTCACCCGTGTGACCAGAGTCACATGCAGCAATCTCATGGCGTTATTTTCCCACAACGCCACGAAGATCGATTCACATTAGGAGCGCCATTAGAACCTCTAACGTATTATTAAATGTGTAATATGAGCTTTGAAAATAAAATAATATGAGCTTTCTCTTACTTTGTAAACAAACTACCCCCAAAATAACTTGCAACCGCTTGTCTGCCCAACGCTGTGTCAGTAGGAAAGAAACCCCAGAACAAGGCGTCTGGTCCGGCGTGGCCTGGTCCAGCCACACACGTGGAGACTGGCTCCAGACCCCGCTCTGGGAGACGCATCCATGAATGAAGTTGTTTACGGAAGAGAATGAAGAAGTTGCTAAAGAATTCAAAACCAAGTTACAAGCATGGCTTTTCGGGCCTCTTAATCCAGCGCTGGGCTAAGCTCCATTTGGGTTCTCAGGTTCTGTTCCTCGGTGGCTACAACTCGCCTCACCCTGTGTGTGGGTGCTCAGCCAGGCAGGAGGGCTGGACTCCCCGCCGACGCACTTGGCAGATACAGCCGCCGGCCAGCGCACCAGAGACCGCCCCTCGAAAGGGATGCAGGCTGACTGTCTGATGGAAGCAATCTTATTCTACCTCGTGCTGTCTCTGTGCCCTTCAAATCCCACATTCTGCCCTAAGAATGAACTTCCTTCCAGAACAGGCAGCAGCGTCTGTCTACTGACCAGGCCTGTCGCCCCTAATCTGCCTCATTCAGAATTCAAAGAAGACGTACTGTCCAGTTGTTGACAAAAAGCAGCCAGTTTGGTTTTCTGCGTATGTCCGTGGCATTCATGGGATTTACACAGTCATGTAAAATGGGAGAGCCACATGACAACTGAATCCTTCTCTCTAGTGAGATCACTTAGAAGCTCAAAACAACTTACTGCTTCCTCAGGCCATTCTTTACTAATATCTGTTTTTTTTATTCCAGCTGGACGCATAATGTGAAGCAGAAACATTAAAAAAGAGAGAGAGAGAGAGAGGGAGAGAGAGAGAGGAATGCAAAAATCTATTTCGTCTCAAGGAAAAATAAGCTGCAAATAATTATCACCAAAATAATGTTTCCATTTTATTTAACAAGACAACTTTGAATGTACACATTTAGTTTATGAACACAGGGTAAAACATTTATTTCCACCTTCCTTTTAGTCCTATAGTCACTACATCTATTTGGCGAATAAAGAACAGGTTTTACCGAGAACTTGAACGTGCTGATCGGTGTGTTCGTGATAAGAGCTGATTTCCCACGTCCGCGGTTGCTGGTTAGATGGACACTAGCAAAGTGGTCACCCCACCACTGTCAGGCCAGGTGCTCACCAAACCAGTGCTCGTGTGATTGAAACATGTGGGTCACAACAAACAGTCATTCCTTGATGGGTTATTAGCTTATGAAAACATGTCCACATGCAGAAACACCTTTTTATGCTGCTAGTGCACAGTGCTATCTACTTTCCTTCCATTTAATATAGGAAATCAAATGTCCTTTTTGGGGAGCAAAAAAATGTAGAATCACAGTAGCACTTCCCTTTTCACCACACGTGAGCTTGCAGAACTGCAAAGAGCTAAGGATGACCCATGGTGACTCTGGCAAAAGATCTACAGTCCTTAAAAAGAGCCATATCCCTTCTTCTGTGTTAGAAACTCACTGCAAATGGTTTTGCCAAAACACTGCTGGACTTCGTGGTTTGTTGAAAATCCAGTGAGAAATAATATATAAAATTCATTTTGGTGAGAATATCTTTTACTTGAAGAATATAAACCCTAAAGAATACTAAAACATTTAGTAATAGTTCTGGAAAAAGTTTTTATCATTAATTTCCCAGACCAAAAATTATACACCAGGAATGAATTAGGCACTTTGAAGCTGACTCTTTCAGAAATCTCTAAATTAACGCTTTTGACACTTACAGAGTAGGTGGTCCAGATACAAACATATTTGACCGATTGGGTCTCTAAATTGCTGGGTTGGTGAAAGCCATAGGTACATTCAGAGGGGAAGTACTTGCTTTGGGAGATTAAAAGAGCTAATTCAGTACTGCCTCTGCTCACTGAGTAGCAGTCATATCCCCTCATAGCCTGACAATATTTGCTTCTCATCATAAACCGACAATGTCACTTCATGGAACTTCATGACAATGTATTGGTTAAATATTTTCTAGAACATCTACACTTCAGTTAAAACTCCATTATTTACAAATCAGTAAATATACGAAGGGGCTCACAGCATGCCTATGAGACACAAATATACAAAAATTATGGCAAGCTTTCAGCAAGACTCCTAAAAATAATAGAACACTTTGATGCAAAAAGAGAGAGGGATGAAAATACAGACTATGTATTGCCAGTGAGCTATACTCTGAGAAAGGGTTCTACTTGAAAAGCACAGAAGACTATTTTATCCAAGAGGGAAGCAAAGACATAAAAATAAAATATTTGGTATTCTACATTATATTACAAAAATAAATATATCAGTCAATAAATAGTAGGAAGCCTGGAAACTTTTACATGAGTATTTTGATTGTTGCCTGCCCAAGTCCCTCTGCTACAATTTTCCTCAAGAGTCATTTAGGTTTCTCAACTTCAATGATGATAATTCTACCATAAAAGTGTGTAAAAAAAAAAAAAAAAGATTGGCGTGGGATATAGCAGAAAGTCTATGACCAGAGGAGACATTAGTAAGCTCTACTCTCGTAAAGATCGGACAATTTTATAGCTTCCTATCCACGCAGTGAAGTGGAAGCGTTGCAGGTGCTGCCAGGGGCTTGCGGGAGCAGGGAGAACTCCTCTACAGTTTGTGCCTTTTCGCTTTTTGATAAGAAGAAAGCAGCAACAACAACAACAACAAAATACAACTGGCAACATTTGAATGACCAATATGTGGCTTTCTGCACTCCTTTCTATAGGGACGAAGAAAATCACAGAAATGCAGTTTTACATCTGGACTGGTAGCAGAGAAAGATCTAGTTATATGCAGCCTAATTGCCAACAGCCCAGATTTGCACATCTCTGTAACAGAAGAGTGGCTATAAGTGCTCAAGACAAGCTTTCTCCAGAAGCGGGGCAAAGCCAGCAGCCTGCACGGTGGAAAGCCAGAGCCGGCACCTCCTTAGCTTCTAGTCTCAGCGTGCTAATGTCAGCAGTGTGCCGCAGCCAGTGCATGGCTCCTGAGAGCTCACTAAGGTTTCAGGACTCTTACAAGCTAGTTGGCATCACATTGGAAGCTTGAAACAGGCATTTACATCATTGAAATCCACAAATCAGGGCTTTTTCCCACCTCAAGCTGCCGATTGTAAGGCATCTACCAGCATACCACTCTCATGTATTTTAAACATAAAGAAAACTTTGTTCGATTTTTATCTAACCAGAACTGTCCTGGTCAGCTGAGGTTTTACTTTATATATCCTTTAAAAAGGATAAAAAGTACCAGGAGTCTGTGCGTACACATCGTGTACCATGCAGTATAAAGGATGCACCATATTGCACTGAGAGCAGGAAGCGTAACGGTCCAAAGCCAGGCACGCAGATGCACAGGCACCCCCGCACGTGCTGTTAAGTGGACGCTATTCCACATAGGTGGGATTGTGAGTTTTGTGGCCATCTCAAATTATGAATCATTGCAGACCCACTGATGGCCCCAATATCACTCTTCCAGGGGCAACGATAATCTCCATTTAGCGCTGCTTGTGATTTTACAGACACATCTGACGATGGCATCTGTATCCTTTCCCCTTCTCCCCTTCAAGTGCGTCCCCTCCCTCTACCTTGGGCAGCAGTGGTGGCCAACACACACGGCCGGCCGTGCTGTCCCATTGTCTCCCGAGCACCTTTCATACCAAAGTCCCTCCTGTTTTCCTGCCTGGGCCAGGCGCTGCCCTCTGGAGCACATTGGTCCCCCATGGGCTCATTCTCTGCTGTTGTACCTTTAAGGCCTTTTGGAGCCATTTGGTTTCTGTATGGAATAACCCCTCCCTTCAAGCGACCTTTACCAGGTCCTGCTGCTCTGAGCAACAGCAGAAACTCAACTGACAAAAGCTTACACTTACACTTCCAGGGTATTCAGGGAATGTAACACTTCCTAGGATGGTTAAAGTCCTGATGCAAACTATCTTGTCATAAATCCTACTCAGAGAAGAGGTGACTGGGAACATACCATTGGCCTTTAATATATGCACGTTGAGTGAGTCATGCATGTGTGTGAGTATAATCTGCCTCTACAGGACCAAAAGATTTGCTTAAGTTCATGTATGTGCACATACACATACACAAATGTCTTTCGACACTGCATTTTGCTTAGGGGTTGATTTCAAAAGGACATGGAGTTGGCATTGCCAAGAAACGGCAAGAACAAAGAGAAACAGATTGGAAGGGACTAGAGTGGATAGCAAAATATGCATTTCCTACAACACACTGACCTGCCCATTTCCCTATGGCAGCAAGCCTCTGTTTTCTGTACACCCTTATTAAATAATCTCATTAAATAGGAACACCAAATATACACATTTACAGTTATTAAATAAGCCACAGGACTCCTCTTCTATCTACAGCCACATTCAGAGACGGCCATGCCTTCGTATTTAAACTTGTAGGTGACAACACCTTTGTCTAAATAGAGGATGGAGATGGGCTCTAGCTTTGTGGGCACACAGCAGGCTTTGGAAGCCTTCTGGGAATTCTTGAGGTGGACCAAGGCCTGGATAATCGCATGCTTTGTGGGTGTGAGGTGCTCCGCCAGGGGGTAGTTGCAGACGCCGCGGCATTCATAGGCTTCGTATCCGGGTGGAGCGATGATCCAGGAGTCCCACCCGATCTCCTTGAAGTCGATGTAGAGTGGGGTCCTCTTGCAGTAGTTTCCCTTGGCGTTCCTTCTGATGCGGGCGGTGGAGTCGTAGATGATGTTCGACCTCATCTGCAACAAAGCCTCTTCTCCAGGTCCGCTGGAAAAGCCATCCAGGCCCAGGTTGTCCAGCTCTGGAAGTTGCTCATGGGCGATCATTTCATTCAGTTCCTCCCTCCGCTCCTTTTCACTGCTTTGGTCATCAGAAAACACGATGAGCAAAGGGTTATGTTTATTCTGGGCGCTGGTGTCTATTTCCAGTCGTCCCCTGCTGGCGTCCTCGGTTTCGTCGCGTCTGCTCTCGATGTGGACCTCCAGCTGGTGGGTGGACGAGCCTGCCTTTTGCCAGCGTCTGACGGCATGTGTGATGTCAAAAGCCTCCCACTCGCTGTTGGTCCCAAAGATCTCCTCTGACACCAAGACCAGCATCTTTCTTTCGCCCTTGTCCCCTCTGCTCTCTGGTACTTCAAAAATGGTAATTTTCCGGTCCACTCCATCATACATCATGCGGTCTCTTTGCACCAGCGTGTACAACCTGAGTTCAGCCATGACGACCTCTTCATGGTGAGGGATGGACACGTTGAAGAGGAGAGGGTATTTTCGGAGCCCATTAAAACTGGCTGGTTGGGAAAACAGATCTGGGGGCGGGGGGAGAAAAGACAGAGAGATTTGCCAAAGTCAGATTTGCAGTTTGACTCAGAGAAAAACAGATGCTTATTTATGTAACAAGAGGGCCTGCCCCTGCGGGAAGCTTCATACAGAGAGAATGAGGGGAGAAGATCAATGAAAACAAACACAATGTCAGCATTCTGTGACACAAGAAAACACTGAAAGGTCACTGGTAGAACGCCCAAGGGAGTTAAGCTGCCAAGACCAAAATGGAAAATGAGGGCTAATGACTGGGATATAACTCAGCCAGCCTTGCTTGAGTAGCTTATCAGCCACAGAATTACAGAACAGAGAGGGAACGTGGAGATTTTATGGGCAAGTCCCCAGTTTTTCTAACCATTGAAGAGCTATCAAATGGGACATGTTGAGGTTGTTCTTTTCCTGAAGCTTTTCAGGGATGAGGAATCCGTGGCTTTTCATATATGTGTTTGTAGTGAGTGAATCGGTAGAAATCCCACACAATTGGTTGGGCACTGGTCTTCCTGCAAGAACTCTGTTTAGACCAGGGGTTGGTAAGCTATAGCCCATAGTCCAAGTTGGGCCTGCCACCTGTTCTTGGAAATAAAGTTTTATTGGAACACAGCCCCATCCATTTTTCTGTATTGTCCATGGCCTCTTTAGCGCTGCAAGGGACCAGTTAAATAGTCACAACAGAGAACCTATGGCCTACAAAGCCTAAAACATCTACTATCTCTCTGGCCCTTTACAGAAAATGTTTGCTGACCCTCACTTTAGACAGCAAAGCCTGACAAGGTCAATAAGACAGCCATAAAGCAGAAGGATCACAGCAGCTGACTTTTGGTCATGTGGTCTTCTGTAAGGAGGAACGGGAGAAATGAATCTTGGGGCTAGATTGGTTGCCTTAGTCTTGTACCCTTCAGCACCTGGCATGGAGTTTAGCACATTCAAATGGTTCAAGAATGTTTATGCAACAACTTTTTAAAGGTTGTTTAGTCTCTTAGTAGCACACCTCCACATATTATTACCATGTTGACTTCCTGTCTGAGAATTTTACAGTGAGCACAAAGCTCCTATACACTTGCCTCAGGTAATATGTGTCTATAAGGAATCCCTGAGGGCATTTTTCACCAGATTATCTAAGGGTTTCATGACTACAAAGATACAGTTGATGGGTTCTATGGCCTCTTTCATTGTTGGCAGCACTTTCCCAATTATATACCTAATCAATGATTTCAGTAGACTCCATGTTCCAGACTACAATCTTTTAATATTTTTCTTTAACTTGATCTGACAATTTTACATTTATTCCTTCATTTAGACTGTCCTAAGAAATATCATTCATGAAAGGGGAATATTGATGTCATACTTATGAGCATTTTTAAAAATCTACATTAATAAAAATATAGAATGATTTCACATGATTCATAGCCTCTGGGCACCACCTAAAATCATCTTACACATTGCCAGTGGGAAATACTGACCTATGGAATGAATTTAAACTCACTGGAATGGCTCTTAAGACCAGAGATATACAAGTCTCAACCTCCTGATCCAGCCATAGCCCCTATTCATGCTCTATAGTCCTTGGAACATTGCAATTGCTCAATTCATATTTGTTGAATAATTAAATGGTTTTGCAAACCCTACTTTTTCAAGTACACTGATATCTTTACCACTTGCCAAAATATTTCTTTTTCTCTTGTACTTTGCACCTTTGGATATGTTCTTCTGACCCTTAGAAAGTCCCCTCACCTCACCTCCACCTTTACATCTCTGCCCTCTCCCTGTGAAACTCTCCTTTCCTCACTCCTCTACCTGAAAGTTCACTCCTCTCTGAGTCACTTGAGCACTTACTCTCTATGTCTGTCCTTTAACCCTATCATTTACATCCTTGTATTTCACTTGTCTTTTTATGAACAGATCTTCCCCACTAGATTGCCATCATCCTGGTGGCAGTTACCATGGCTCACTTCCTTCTATATCTCTGTCCTACCATGATGCCTTAAACAGAGGCAGTGCCTTAAAATATTCATTAGTTGATGATTCTGGGGACCAGACCAAATTGAGTTATGGGCATGGCATATATTCTTACTATATCATTGACCTCTTGGGTAAGAAAGAGAAGAAGTAGCTTGGGAGTTGTCCTCCCATGATAAGAATCGAGGAGACTTGATTCTCTTTGGACAGGGAAAATGACAAGACCAAAAGTGGGGGAGTGGGATGATTGCTCCAACTATGGGAAAAGTGTAGAATAAAAGCTCACTGTGGTGGGAGGAAGGAATTACAAAGGCAAATGAGGAAACTTCTGATGGTAATGAATATGTTCACTATCTTGAATGTGGTGATGGTTTCGACGAATAGCTTCACACGTCAAAACACATCAAATTATACTCTTTAAATGTATGTGACTTTATGTATGTCAATTACACCTTAATAAAGCTGTTTTAAAAAATAAGTTCTCTGTGAAGTCTGTGCATGTACTGCAAATGAAGTATGCAATAGAGGGAGGAGTTCTATTTCAGGGCAAGAGAACTAATGTTTGCTGACAAATTTCACATTCCAGGTGCTTTGCAGGCATAGTCTTATTTGGTTCTCACAATGACTCCATAATGTAGGCATTGAACCTCCATTTATTTTGCACCAGAAGAAATAGAGCCTTGATGCAGAGAACTGACTTCCCCAGATGGCAAGGGAAAGATAAAGTAGGCTAGGAATTGAGTGCATACTCTTCCCGATTTGGGGGTGGCACTTGTTTTCCCCAAATGAGTTAGGTCAGCTTTTTTTTAATTTTTTTTTTTTTGCCTTTGTTTCCTAGAGAGCTGCCCTGGACACACCAAAAGGGTCAGAAGAGAAACAATAGCAGGACAAGACTTGTGCAAGGACTCCTGTCCTCAGGCTGCTCATTTCCACCCTAGAATGGCAGAGGTGCGGGCAACTGGGTTGCCTAGTGAGAAGTGCAGACAGCTGGTTTGTCCATATGCTCCTGCCCTCGCTGATCTCCAGTAATAACAAGCACCATAAACTCTATACCATGGCCCAGATCATCCAAATCCTCCATAAGAAAAGTGAGAACACAAAACAATTCTGTTTTCCCAGGGGATGCAAACAACATTTTCCCACCCACACCCTGAACCAGACACTTTGAGCTCAGTGCTGAGAAGTATTAGGGAGGGTTCCCACTGGAAGAGGTTTTTCATTTTTAATTAAAACTCACCTCCAAAATAAATATGTAATCTCAGCTTGCTAATTCCATTAGATATATGTTACCAACTAGAAATTTTGGCAATCAACTAAATTTTAAAGGCAAGTATTATCTTAGAGATTAAATACCTACTCAACATTTACTCCAGTGCCTAGAACATTAAGTAAGTCATTAATAATCACTAAAGTTTGCCCAGCACTTCATAGCAAATGGGGTGCTTTTTTATTTTGAACACTGTGCTATGTAGATATTATTATTCCCATTTTATAGATGAAATTGAGGCTCAGACAAATAAAGCTAATTATCTGCAACTACTAAGTCAACCAGCTCTCAAAATTCCAAATCCTGAGCTATTTCTTCCACTGCCTTTCTGCTTTCAAGAACATCTGGCAAACATCAATAGAAAACTTCTTTATATCTGGTTAATGACCATAAAAGCATAATTGATAAATATTAAAGAATTCATTTCTTTGGACTCATAGCCTCTACTATAATCTAGATATCAGAATTTTAAAAAAAAATTTTTGCCTACTAGCACCATATTAAGCAAAGGATTAACTTGCTAGTTCATTAAATTGAATTACTGAGTTTAAAGATCTGAGGGAAGAAGCACACTTTTCTCACCAATAATTTAAAGCTTGTGCATTGCTCTTCATAAAGACAAAAATGATAAGCTGGATTGTGAACAGTCCATGCACGCTTCCTAGAAACCATAAACAGTGCTTCAAGGATGCACAGGACACACCAAACACAACACAATTTTAAGAAGACTCTCTAACACATGTTTCCATCCTCTTTGGATATTTCTTAAGGTCACATAATAGAAACTCATCCAAAGTTTGAACAAAATACAAATCACATTTGCTGGTTTTTTTAAATCATTTTCATTCTATGCAGAAGTTGACAAATTTTGTAGTCAATTAACAGCCAAAATACAAATTGAGGCCTATCCGGAAAATGGCAGACGAAGATACTGCAGTAGACCAACATTAATTCTTTATATTCCTTGGTGCCCAAATCAAAATTTTATAAAGACTCAATTATGACGCCAAATTGATAGACATTTTGTGGCCTTGGATTAAAGATATTTTTGAGTATCTTCTGAGTTTCCGAAGTGACCACATACATGGTATATAGATCAAAATGTGCATTGATTTCGTGTATCTGTGTGTGTACACACACCCTTACATAGATATATGCACCCTTTTCTATCTAGATCATTCCCATGCATTATAAAATTACTCTTCTTGAAAAAAAAAGCCAAGACAAATTTCATCGGAGAAATGTAAACTTACCTTCATTCTTAAAACTCCTAATGATGTTGGCAGAGGGCATGGAGGTCCGATCCGTTGCGAATTTGTTGTAGAGTTCCAACATGTACTCCGGTGGGTCAACCTTGGCTGAATCCTGGGTGGGGATGTCAGACAGGTTCAATGTCTTCAGAAACTCATCCTTCATGCTCTGTAGCAGTGTGTTAAAGTCGACACCATCTTGCTCTGAGAAGACATCATCAAAGAGGGGCATATCTTCTTCCAGAGGCGACTGCTCAAGGCTCATGATGGGGCTGCCAGGAACGGAGTGAACCACCAGGCAGAAAAGAGCACAGAGCCGCAGGACTGGGGAACCCATGCCTCCGCTCCAGCCCCCAGGCCAACCCAGGAAGGTTTAGCGCTCCTGGGCTCTAAGTGGCAGTTTTATCTTGCGGAGCGTAAATGTCTCCTGTCACTGGAGACAAGTTTGGAAACTCTTTCTCTCTCTCCCTCCCCCTACCCACTCTTCCTCTACCCCCAAAAGTCAGGTTGCAGTAATTGGATAGCAAAATCCCCTATAGGGGCCTAGCCTTTCTTATCTCCTTAGTGTAAACTTGTGCACCAGATTTTGTTTCTATCTTGCAATTCCTATTTCTTTTAATGAGCATTTTGTAAACATTTCCACATTCTGACACTGGTTGAGAGATAGGACAATTTTCTCCTCTCAAAGGATCTGCTTCTCTCCCTTTTAATTCACTTCCTTTCAGCAGGAATGCCCAAATTCTGCTTTTACGGAATGCAGTGTCACATATGTATATAATAGTTATTAAGAATCAATGTAATATACAGCAATGGTGATACATACTAATTTGAGTGATAAGACTTATATCCTTAAATAAACATTTCTGAAGACAGACAAAATATCCAATACCCCCAAATTAATAGATATAAATGAATTTATATAAATTTTTAGAAGTGTGCATTTAAGAAACAGGAAAATAACAAACTTCATGATCAATAGCCTTTTTCCTACAGATTTGATCTGCCTAAAACGGCTTTTGAGAAATAGGGCAAGTGCTTAATTATAATGGTAACTAAAATGTATTAGGTGCTTCTTACAAACAGGCATTGTACTGAGTGCTTTCCATATATTATCTAATGGGCTCCTATAACAGGCTATTATTATTCCCATCACATATACGGGCCACTGGGGTTCCGTAGCTTGCCAGAGGTCACAAAGCTGCAAAGTGATGGAGCTACAATTTGAACCCAGGCAGTCTGACTCTAATGAAAAAGCAATCACACATTTAAAACACTACGCTACTAGAGCAGGGTGAGGGCAATAATGCTGAACGGCTTCATCTGGAGGCAGGAGGCAGACAGTAATTTGCAGCTAGATATAGACCTCAGGTCCTCCTGCACCTGTGCAATGAATTGTTACTATGACTGCAATCTCCACCAAATTCATCTTTATGACTAACCTACATCGGTCATTGAGAGGCTTCAGCAAAAGTTCAGCAAACAGCATTACTAGGCAGGTGAAAATTGCCAAATGCCTTGGTCTGAAAAACCAAGGGTAGAATTGATCAAGGGTAGAATCAGTTTAGGAAAGACAATTAGGTTCATCATATTTCCCGCCCTAATTAGTGGCAATTGCAGCCCTGGTGCAGTCAAGGTGGCCCTGGGGACAACATCTGGGGGTGGTTTTCCCCCTTAGGCGGTGGTACTGTTATTTCTCTGACTTGTTCAGTGCACACCCTGTGCAATTACTCAGGCATCCTGGCACTGTATTCAGAGGGCCATACCTAGATGGCCATACCTTTGGTACACTAGAATACTCTCTTAATCTCTAAGTAAACTTTTCCTACATCCACCCTCCTCAGTTAGCTTCAATATATCCACTTAGCCTTTTTCTCTAGATTCCCTCAGGTGTCTAGTCATCTCCTGAGTCTTTCTCCTCCTAAAATGTGAAATTTCACAGCAATTTTTTTTGAATCACCATAGAAAGAATTCTATTTTGTTTAGTAGTTGTTAATTGTCCATTTATTTAGTAGCTGTTGATTTTAATTCAATGTTGAATTTTGATTCAGGCTTCTGCTCCTATAGTGAAAAGATAATTGTAGACTGGTAATGAATTATGCCCTGAACAAGTCCGCAAGTGAGTGAGTCCAAGGGCCATGCCGTTCTTCAGGTGGTACATTCTAACGTGAGGTTTCTGACAGCATACCAGCGAGGCCGCGGTGTCATGTCCTGCATCAAAACACACACCCGCTTATCCTCACGCACACACAGATGTCAGCGCACACTCCAGGACTCCGAACGGCAGGCATGTGCGCATAACTGCCACAGGACAGCCGCGTAAGTGGTGGCACTTGTAACCCCTGAGCACACTGGCTTCAGAGGTCAGGAGGAGAGACGGGCATCCCGCATTGCAGAGTTCTAGTTCTTTACATTCTCAGGCACGAAAATCTGTAACTGAGACTTCACTGGCTTCCCTATACTTGATGACAGAGAAACTATGGGGTTAAGTATCTGGAGCTCTTTCTCCATCAAAATGTTTACATTTTTTGGCTGATTAAAAAGTAGAATAGGAAAATGACCACTTCTCAGTGCCTACAACATCTTGAAATGCGTGCTTAGCAAAGGTGTTTAAACCCCACCCCTGTGCTAGGGTGGATGAGAAAGGAGGTTGGCTTCATGCGTACAGGAAGGGGACATGAGCTTCCTCCCTCTTCCAGGCCCGGGACAGCTCACATTTTAGCTGCAGAGTTGGTCTCTTTTTTTTTATTTCAAAATATTAAGGGGGTACAAATGTTTTTGTTGCATGGCTTGAGTCAGGGCTATAAGTGTGCCCATCACCCAGATAGTGTTAATTGTGCCCATTAGGTAGGTTTTCGCCACTCCCTACCCCCTGCTTGATTTCCAGTGACTTTTACTTCCTTCTGTGCACATGTGTGCCCATTGGTTAGTTCCAATTTATTAGAGAGTACATGTGCTGTTTGTTTTTCCATTCTTGAGATACTTTGCTTAGGATAATGGTTTCCAATTCCTTCCAAATTGCTGCAAAAGGCATTAATTCGTCCTCTTTATGGCTGAGTAGTACTCCTTGATATACCACATTTTGTTAATCTACTTATGAATTGTGGGCACTTGGGTTGATTCCACATCTTTGCAATTGTGAACTGTACTGCAATAAACATTTGGGTGTAGGTGTCCTTTTGATAAAATGACTTCTTGTCCTTTGGACAGATACCCAGTAGTGGGATTCCTGGAGCAAATGGTAGGTCTACTTTTAGTTTTTTGAGGCATCTCCATACTGTTTTCCATAGAGGTTGTACTAGTTTGCAGTCCCACCAACAGCGTATAAGTGTTCTTTTCTCTCTGCATCGGCACCGGCATCTATTGTTTTGGGACTTTTTAATAAAAGCCATTCTAGCTGGGGTAAGGTGATTTCTCCTTGTGGTTTTAATTTGCATTTCCCTGATGATTAGTGACATTGAGCATTTTTGCATATCTTTATTCGCCATTTATCTATATTCTTTTGAAAATCTTCTGTTCATGTCTTTTGCCAGATCTTTATTAGATGTGTGCTTTGCAAATATTTTCTCCCATTCTGTAGGTTGTCTGTTTGCTCTGTTGATTATTTCTTTAGCTGTGCAGAAGCTTTTTAATTTAATCAAGTCCCATTTATACATTTTGTTGTTACTGTAATTGCCATTGGGGTCTTGTCATAAATTCTTTGCCTAGGCTGATAGCTAGAAGAGTTTTCCCTGCATTTTATTCTAGAATTATTATGGTTTCATGCCTTGGATTTAAGTCTTTTATCCATCTTGGATTAATTTTTGTGAGTGGTGAGAGATAGAGGTTCTACCTGCAGAGTCTTTTTATCCCCCATGTTTTTCTCTAGATGCTTTTTTTAATGACTCTCATCTGACTCTAAAAAGTCCAATTATCTCCACATTCCTATCCCTATTTTGATATTTCTGGATACCATATATTCCATTATTTTGCACTGATCTCATTATTTTGGATCCCGCTCATTCTGAATGCATATAATTCATTCAGAGTGCACTGACGGTCATGATTTTGTGAGCCAAAGATATAAAAGTTATGTCTAGACACTTTAAGAAAACCCACACATGTGGAAAGCAAAACATTAAATACATCATGTTTTTCAATCCCACTACAAAATGTTTCAGACCATTCTTTACAAAGTTCTGGGCCAATTTTTAAAACTAGTTCCATAACTCTGCTAACTTGAAGTAGTGCACAGATCCTGAATAGATGCAATCAGTAATGTTCTCGTGAATGAAAAGAGGCCAATGCAGTTACGAGGTCTTTGAACATGACTCTCAGTTCTTGGAACCCTCTCTTTCTTGGATCCCACTTCAGCATTATGTTACTCTTGCTACCTACTCTGGAATTTTCAAGACTTTAGGATACACCTTTTCAAACTAGGTGTGATAAAAATATTTAGCAAGCTCTATGACAGGCTTTTCTGATTTTAACTTATATATAAATTGAATCATAGGTGTTCTTGTATGACTTGCTTCTTTTGCACTCAGAATGTTTTTCAATGCAGACATGTTGGTATATGTAGCTGTAATTCATTGATTTTCACTACGAATAGTTTTTCAGCTTTACAAATATATAAGGATTTATTTGTCCATTATACTGGGGATAGATACTTGGATTGTTTTTTTCTCATTATATATAGTACTATTATGAATAATATTATTGTTATTTTCTGTTTAAGAGATTGTCTAGGAAGGGCTATCCAATAGAATGTTCTGTTACAATGGCAATATCCTCTATCTGAGCTGTCCAATGCAGTAGTCACTGGAACTGCATATGTGGATTCAGCATTTGGAATGTAGCTAGTGCAACTGGGAAACTGAATTTTTCATTTTATTTAATTTTAATTGATTATAATTCACATTTAAATAGCCACAAGTGGTTAGTAACTACCATATTGGACAGCGTACGTTTAGAGTTTATTTAATAAGAATAAACATCAGAATAGAATTTCTGGTTAGTAGTCAAGCAAGACTCTAAAAGACGATATTATATAATGCCAAATTATTTTCCCAAATAATTTTCTCATTTCTTTTCTTCCCAGCAAGAGTTATTGTTCCACATCCTTGCCAACACTTGTGTTGGTTGACTGTGGGGACTGCAATTGAGCCTTGGAGGCTCTCTCTTCTGCTCTCTCTCCCACTCATTCCTGAGATCTGCAACAGAGCATGTAGATAATCTACTCAACAAGAGACAGTCTGTGCTGGGAATTGGTGCTTGAAAATACTGTATTGGCTCCAACACTCTATGTTACATGAATCAACCTATGTAGAACACGATATGCAGCTGCAAACAATTTTTATTGAAGGACAGGAAAGGAGACCTTACATAAATGTAGCAACACTCCAAGTCTATAAGTAGGACTATAATAAAGGTGTCAATAATCCCCAAATCAATATATAAATTCAACAAAACTTCAATCACAATACTAACAAGACATTTTAGAGAACTTGAAGAGGTTA